CCTTAACTGTCAGCTGATTACGTATTCGTTGTACAGTTAGATCTTGGCGAATAGACTTCAATTGATCACACTTGTAAAGGTAGTTCTTTTGGGAATTTTGGACCATAAGCAGAGCCTTCTCTAGAACTTCCTCTGGTCTTACCTGTAAAGCACTAAGGATTTTAAGCAAGACACAAACAGCATAATCTTTCCTCAATTCTAAAAAAGATAGAATGCCCAGTCTACAAAGGTGAAATGAGATGGTGAATTACAGTGGAAGGATCAGGTGCAGAAGTAAGACGCAAATATCGTTTCTCAATTTCCTGGCAGGTGCCTTTTACAGTCAGCGCATCCCAGTCAATGTCTTCAACAGCCCTGCTGCCACCATCTTCAAAGCTTTTGCTAAGCACCATAGCACTAGCCCTTCTAGCATACAAGTTTCCAGTGCCAATATTTTTTGGTTTAAAGTGATTAATTTCTGCTCGATTCCCTTGTCCTTTATCAAAACGCTTAGAGCGATTTTCACGCCTCTTTCTTTCTTCTGGGGAATCAGCAAGTGCAATTGCACTAGAGTAATATGCTGTTAAATTTTGGTCCTTATCACTATCACTTGAGGCATCACCATTATCAGCAGCATTTCCATCAATGAGACACTGCCTCTTAACTGGCCTCCGGAAAGTTTTAGTTGCAGATTTCTGCTCCATTAGAGAAAATCTGGTAGCACCAAGACCATCATTCTTACTCTCCAAATTTGCACTCACAGGCTGCAGAAAATTTCAATTCCACACAGTAACTTATAATGTCATTTGATCCAGAAGTGTGCATCTCAACTACCAATAATAACATGAAGCTGATACTAGAAAAACAGTAATACAAACTATAGAATACCTTTTTATCCTTCTCATTTGCATGAATCCAACTACCAAATTTTGCAGTGTCATTATTTACAGAAGCCAATTTGTCAACTGATTTCTCCTCTGGTAAAGGCTCCCACCTACTTTTGGATCGTCTAGAAGGACTCCTCTTATATTTTGGTAATGAAGCAGAAATTGAACTCTGCAAAGTGCTGCAACAGAAAGAACAAGGAAGGGGAGGGAAGGGGATAAAACAAATATCAACAAACTCAAAATGAATGCATATCAACAGTGCATCAGCTAACAACGTCAGAGGAAAGCTAATACTTCCATGCAAACACAAGCCAGAAATTGAGTCTAGAGAGGGAAAGAAGAACACATACTCCTTATTGACGACATCTGCATTTGGTAGTGGAAAGAGAGGTTCATTATCCCAGTCTCTTGTACAAAGTGTGCCATCAGCTGTTGCCTTAGTAATGATCTGAAAGAGAACAAAGGGGGACAGGAGGAGGGTGGTATGAGAATCATAACAATCTACTCAAAAAGCTATTGGAGGCAAATACTTGAACTTCTTGTATGTTAAAATATCCAGCCAATGAAGTCGAATTAAATAAACAGTGAACAAAGACAGTATTTAAAGTCTAATTCTACCACTGGAAGTAGGGTTCAGACATCCCTCTCAATTTGATGGACATTGATCAATCCAAATATAAAAACTAGGTAGTATTCCTTGGCGATGCACAGAAGGTACTGCTGAACTTTTAAGTTTGACTTGATTTAGACAAATTGATAGTACTATTTAACACTAATAGGAAAATCTTATAAGTATGGAGCCATCAGCTATTCCTCTTAGTCTTCATATTAAATAGCAATCCAATTGCAACTTCTTTCCAGTACTCTTGCTTCTAACTAATTTCAGAAGAGTAGATGTAAAAAAAACAAAATGAAGCTCACACATATAATGGCCATAATGCAGTGTCCAGGTCTTCTGGCTTAACACTTAGGATTGAAGGTAACAAGATAGAACATAAGTAGGAAGTAAATTTTAATTAAAAAAATAAAAAAATAGTCGTGAGACATGTTAAGAGTTTAGTCTTGCATTATCTCAAAGACTACATAGCTAAAATGAGAAAATTTTGCAACATCTTTTCTTTATCCATATGATTTATTTGATAACAATTTTGGAATGGTTGTAATCAAACTGACTCACCTCCTTCATGATAGCTTGGCAAGCTGCTTTTTGTGTATCATCTTTACAACTAGCCAATGCCCTTTCAACATAACCCCGCAATGATTTAGGGAATGTACTAGGCTGCAAGTGACAAAATTGCTATTAAAATTGTGCATTACCTAGAAGTTGATCAATAATTTACATAAAGAGAGAAACATGTAGGGCAACTTCAACATTCACCAAATGTAACTAGGGTAAACCATACAGTTAAAATCTGGGCCGAAGGAATATCTATGAAAATTCCATGATAATTATTCAATAATTTGTCAGACTTACAAGCCAATATGGAAATGAAGATCAGATCTTGAATAGAAGGAATGGGCAAATGACAGATCAAGATACCCAAAAAGAACAAAATACAGACATTCTCAACAGTTTCAAAAAATCTTATTCATAAAAGAAGACAAATAAGAAGAAGAAAGCAACTGCTTCACATACAATAAAATTCCAACTCAGAAGCAAGCACTGATTATAAAGAAGCAATGTTGCACATGAAGTCATGAAAAGGTAGACTTATCTCTATATAAAACACCAGACAGTAACATCTGTCAATCAGGCAGACATGTTACCCTTCCAGCCAACGATTTCAGCTCTCAAGTAAACATTTCAGGCAATCAGGCATAAAGAAAAATTTAAAGAATTGCAACCCTTAAGAAAGTTTAAAACTCCCACCTTAAGTACAGAATCAGCTGCATTATTGGGCAATACTTTCTCATTGGACACTGGAAATGAAACACTGATATAAGCAGGTTTTGCTGCTGCATTGTTGTTAGAGCCATCCTTATCGGTCTTTTGTAAACCCAATGGTAAATTTGAAGCAATTCTAGGGTTTGTTTGAATCTGAAGTTTGCTTGTTCTCCGAGAATCTAATGATGGAACAGGTTGCAAGGGCGGCTGGTAACTTTGGGCTGCCTGATGAGACGAAGCATATTGTAAATTGGGAACTTGAGGGCATGCAGTTTTCTGTTGTTCCTGAAAGTTGTCATAAGAAGTTTTTGGCTCTAAGGGCTTCTGAAAATGTGGCTGCATGGGACTTACTTGCTGATTTTGAAAACTAAGAGTACCATGTTTCCAGTAATTATCATAAGCACCACTAACTGCCACACTAGGCTGACAAAAAAGCAGGAAAAGATGAAAACTCTGTCAATTTTCAAATAAAAGGTCATGATAGTCAAAAACAATACGAGAACAGATAGACCATAATTCAACATAATTGACAACAAAAGCAAATAGAAAATAAAAATAATACCAAATTCATATTATCTTCTTGTTATAAGCATAGGAGTTCATCTAACTTATCCTACAACAGTCAATCAACAAAAACTCAAACCTGCAATGAGGATGTTTGAGAGGGTGCTTGAGGGAGTGTTTGAGAGGGCATTTGAGAGGACACTTGAGATGAACTAGAATCCAGCCTCCAAGATGGGGTAAAAGATGGGGTGTTTTGGCTGTTTGAAGTCGTATATCCACCACTAACTCCAGGAACCTGACACACCTGATTAGATGCAGTAGAAACATTCAAATTTTCTGTCCCAGGAGCACAACTAACTTCAGTCTGATTGCAATAATCTGCCCACTGCTTGTAGTGCTGCTGATACTGTAATGATGTTGTAGCAAGATTACCAGAAGCATAAGCACCAGTTGTGTCTGAAGCGTAGCTTGAATATTGCGGAGTTGAGTAATTTGCATAATTGCCTTCATTCCACGTCGTAGTCTGATGACTATAACTGCTACTTGGGTAACCTCCAGTTGTCTGATAATCACCAGGATTGTAATAAGTGCTTGTATAACTTGCAGGCCCAGCATAAGACCCTGTATTCTGAAACGAGGAAAGAGGCTGATAAGGAGCACCTGTATTTTGATATGCCCCTACTGGCTGAGAGTAAGAATGGTTAGGTTGCTGCTGATAACCATTATAGTAACCTGGGTATCCTGTGGACCCATATCCATAAGGATCAGTAGAACTTGGGTATGATGCATAGTTACTGTAATCTTGTTGGACATTTGCTGTTCCTAAGCTTGATGAACTGGCAACGGCTGCTGAATTTGTTCCATCTTGAACAGTTCTTGTGGATGGATCCATATGCTGAACATGGTGGTAAGTAGAATTCGAAGTGTTCCCATTCTCTGTGGAGTGACTTTCCACCCTGTGCACATTCCAAGATGCAGGGTCTGTACCCGTCACTGAAGAAGGATAGAAAGATGTCTGTGCTTGGCTTGCACCAACAACATAACGATTCTGATAAAGGAAAAAGGAATTGATTTGTGACAAATAAATCAACCAAAATAATATAATTATAAAAATACTAAACCATTGATGTATTAAATGTTTAAAACTTCTAGATTTGCCTGAAAACAAAAAGACAGAGCAACAGCAGCTTCTGTGAAATGAAAGATGATCACAGACAAAGCAAAAAAATTTCAGAGTAGGAAGAATTTAAAATTTATGAGGACAATAATGGTCAACATTATGAAAATTAAATGACTGAGATGATAAAAATTTCTGCTTTCAAAAACGAAGGAGTAAAACTCAATGTCTAGTATGATAGGACCCATGACAGATTTTCAAAGCAATGAATCAGCTAAGAACTCGTCACTTTCAAAACAATACCCAATTCATTACAAGCAATGCTCTTTAGTTCAAACATCCCTGCAACACTCCTATCCATGGAGCAAATTAACAAAACAACTGTAAGCGAACCCCTTACTTCAATCAAAAAACTTTTTTCAAAAGAAACTTCTAAAAAAAAAAAAAAGGGACCCTTTCAGTAGGAAATTACCTCAACAGAACTAGGGTCCAGTGCAGCTACGGTCTGTGTGTTACCTCCTTGATTCATCATGTCGTTAGCATCCTAATCCATCACAGCAAAACAGAGTCAGCATAGAAAACACTTTACTTAATCCAAAAAATAAGAAATCAAAGAAATAGTAAAACAAGAAAACCCAGAAAAACCCTAATCGTGTAACCGATTCTAACCTTCAAAAAAACCCCAAAAATCGACCTCGAAGCTCAGGGCGCTTGTGGCGTTGAACCAGAACGAAAAGACAAAAAATTTGAGATCACAGAGAACCCAGAAAGAATAAATTAAAAAAATAAAATAAACTGGCAAAAGAATTTGAATGAATGGAATATATGTTCTTCTGAACTGATAATGTATGAAGCAGAGATTACAGAAGAAAATTGAATTGAAAAACAAGAGATGAAGAGATAGACAGGGAGAGGGATAATCGGAAGAAATTAGGTAGAAAGAGAGAGATTCAAAGTGTGTGCTTATTGGGTCGTCGTTTTGAGGAGCCTAAGACTGAAAGGGCTGTCGTTTGGCGGTTGTGGGGGAAGAAATAATTATGGTGGAATATTTCAGATTAATATTCAATTTTTATCAATGTTTACTGCAACGCCACGCCGCCGACGCGTCTTCTCTTATTAGTCGCCGGAGAGATAAGAGATTTAGCAAAAGTAAAAATAAGGAACCATACTTTCAACATTTTTTTAATTAAGGATATAAGTTTTTTTATTAATCAATACTAGTTCTTTAAAAAAAAATTTAATTAAATATATTAATTTTATGATTTTTTAGAAATGAGTTAAATGGATATGCATGGTTATATTTTTAATTAAAAACTTTTCAAAAGTGATAGTTTTAATTAGTAAAATTTCAAATATCATATCATTAATTAAAAACTTTTGAAAAATAATAATTTTGATTAATAAAAAAAAGGTTATATCATTATTTAAAAAAATTTTGTGAGGATGTGTCCTTATTTGTACCCATTCTTAAGAGAAAACATTAAAAAAATTGAGTGTTATAATGCAGTCTGTCATATACAAACTGTATTACTTTTAATTATTGATCGACAAGTATGTTGTTAATATAAGGAGAATCGTCATTTTCATTAATAATTAAGTGAAGTGTAATCCAAATAAGGTATATTATATCTCATTTTTTTTTATAAAAAATATATATTTATTTATCATATTTGAGGAAAAAGACAATTATGATGTGCTGACGTTAAAAATGTCAAAACAACTTAATACAATTAAATATGTAGGGTATGATATAGGTTCTAAATTTATTAAATTCATCATATAATTATTATTAAACATCTTAATATTTTTAATGATAAGACATCCTAGTTTTTCTTTTTCTCATTACTTTTTTATATATTTTTGAAAAAAAGTCTA